TATGTCTCAGCTATTTTATAAAATGTGTCTTAGTTTGTGTGATGTTTCCTCTAATCAGGCTGCGTATGCTTGCCAGGAATGTCAAAATTGTGGCTTTGGACTCTGTTAGAGGCACATGTAATTTACAGGTCCAATAGTGATCTCTTGGTTGCTGTACTTATCTGTCTCTTGGTAGAGTTGGTGCTTATATGTGCAGCTGCAACTAATCCTTGTGATTTATACAGCTTACTGTTTCGTAGTATTTCTTCAGTTCGGAAGAATTCTACTAAAAGAAATTGTACAGGATTGATTAAAAGTTTAATGCTCTCCCCGTCGGGGAATCGAACCCCGGTCTCCCGCGTGACAGGCGGGGATACTCACCACTATACTAACGAGGAAGAGATAGAAGCCTGGTCTCAGGGATTGTACAGGAAGTTTTTGAAGTTCCCGTATCTTGCGTGCGCCCTTGTGTTTCCGGTACTTTCCAGACACCACGCGACTCGGGGCCGGAGCCTAGAATAACTTGTTCCGCTGCTCACGCTACGTGAGCCGCGCCTGCGTGGTGGGGCGGCTGGCGCTAACTGCCTTAAAAAGGAAAAGGAAAAACAAAGTCCCCGTTTCGCTGCTTTGTTGTCCACTGGTTCCTGTGGAAATTCCAACAATCGAGTCCCTGAAACTAGGGGAGTGGTAGACCGGAAATGAGGACTGGACCCGGATCTGCGCTAAAAGGACATGTACTGCAGAACCTGTCGCTGAAACCATGGAGGGAACGAAGGGGAAAAGTGCTAGACGGGAAAATCATCGTGGTTGAACGAGGACGGAAGTCTGGCCGAAACTTAAATTTGGGCTTAAAATATCCCGTAGTCGGCAGGATTCGAACCTGCGCGGGGAGACCCCAATGGATTTCTAGTCCATCGCCTTAACCACTCGGCCACGACTACATGAGTAAGTTCATGTCCTTGAAACCCATAAAGGTAAATTCTAGTACCTGCTATGAAGCAAGATTGAAAAGAAAAGCAGCAGGCTGCCAGATTTATAAATAACTACACTCCAAGAAAGGAGCGAATTCTCCGGAGTGTAAAGGAGATAGAATCTCTTTACAGCCTCGGAATGGAGAGCTGCCAAGAGGAATTCTAACAGCGTCTTCGGACCACTGAGGTTTCACTTCCTCACCAGAACCCAATGACCGCACAAAGAAGTACTGCCAGGCCAAGCGTGGTGGCTCATTCCTGTGTCCGAGCACTGATACTGAGGCAAGACGATTGTCGTCAGTGTGGGGTTAACCTAGCTATATGGTGTACATTCATATTTTGTCTAGACAAAAATAAAGTGTAACCAGACTTCGTTATGCCAGGTCTAAGTACTGCTTTTGTTCTGACCCCTTAATCAAACATCCTATTTTAATAATTTACAGAAAGCATTAAATGGGTGTTTAAAAAAAAAAAAAAAGACTTAAGCCCAGTACAAAAATAACATTTTCAATTGCTTTAGAGAATGCAAAACATGCGGGCGGTGGGGGAGACAGAAGAAACCCTGTCTCCAAAACCAACAACAACAAAAAGATAAACAGTGTCCTGGGGGAGAGATAGGTCTCTCAGCTGTTTCCCTTGGAATTCTTGGCTAAATATTTAAATTCTATTTTCCACCCAACAGTATAACACACATTAAACTAAATGCCTGCTATTTAATCAAAAAGATCTCCATCCCCTCAGATTCTAATTATTTGTCCTCTGTTTATGACCTTACAAGAAGCGCCTTTTAACATTCATATATTTCTACAGTACCAGTCTTGGGGGGAGGAGGACAATTTTAGATTTATAGAAAAAGAATCAATGGAAAATACAGTTTCGGTATACCCCATCTCTCCTCCTCCCAATTTCACTATTGTTAATATCTTTTTCTGGAGGGGGGCGTGGTTTGAGACAGGGTTTCTCTGTATTTCTTTGGAGCCTGCCCCCGGAACTCACTCTGTAGACTAGGTAGGCTGACCTCGAACTCACAGAGATCTGCCTGCCTCTGCCTCCTGAGTGCTGGGATTAGCTGACATATTGTTAATATCTTGTTATCATTGATAAGCCAGTAATGGTAAATTATTATTAACACCATAGTTTACATTAGGGCTTGCTCAATGCTGTGCATTCTTTGGGATTAGTATTTATCATAAACAAACTATAAACTAATATATTTTGCACACACCCCTTTGCTCAACCTTCCCCCCAAATCCCTGACAGTCAGTGAATTTTACTTGCTCTTTGTTTTTTGGGTTTTTTTTTTTTTTTAGATGCTATATAGATGGAATCATACTGTATGAAGCCTTTTTCAGAGTGACTCATTTTACTCAGTAGTATCCATTCAAATCCCCCCACCCCCCCACCCCTGCTTTGTAGCTTGGTAACTTATTTCTGTTAATTGCTGAATGATATTCCATTAGTCATATATTCAGCAGTTTTGTTCATTCTTGACTGTTACTACAAACATAAAAGTATTCTTTGAATGTCAGTTTTTTATTCCTTTGAGTAAATACTAAGGAGCAGAATTATTGGACCCAAGTTAAGAGTATGAATAGTTTATAAGAAATTGCCAAACTGTCCTTCAAAATGAATGGATCAGTTTACATTCCTGCTATGAGTGAAGAAGAATTCCTTTTGTGCCACATTCTTGTCAAATGTCCTAGATCTTGAGCATTCTGGTAAGGAGTATCATGGTACACCCTTGTTTTAATACATATTTTCCTGAAACTAAGATGGAGATTACTTTTCATATCCCTGTCTTCTGTAAATATCAACTTTGCTGAGGTGTTTAAAGTTTTGGGGGCTTGGGCTGTTTTCTAAATTGGATTGTTACAGAGCATTGTTAAGAATAAAGTTATTTTATTTTGGTGCTGGAGTTCAAAACCTGGACTAAGCAAAAACTACCACTGTCCCTCTACTCGTAGGAGTATTGTTTGTATTATGGGTATACACACTTTAATAGGCAAGTACTTTTCAAATCCCATTTCCCAGTTCATGGATTTTTCATTCTAGTAAACATACACGCCTTTGATTATCATTCTTTTAGTGACAATATATGTAATCTCTTAGAGGGCTATAGCTCTCTCTCACGCTTCCCACGTCCATCTGAGTCATTGCTGGAACTTAATGGATATAGCATCCATATTTTCAAAGGAATTGAGATTAAATTACATAACTCAAGAATCCTTCTAGCTTCTACTCATTATCAAATTCCAAAGTCACTTTCATATTTCCAGGTATTTATTTCAGCAGAGCTCCAATTTTCAGGACTAAAATCTGTGGTGTTCCTAGCCAGCAAGCAAGGAAGCTAATGTTAGAAGTCTGGTCCCAGGCACTCTTAGCCCATGACTGTAGTCTCCCTTGTAGACATGAGTTATATCCAGAATTTAAGAAAGAACACTGGCTATGTGTGTGGAGGCTCATTGATAGAGCGGCACCCTGGCATGGTAAGGCACTAGGTTCCATCCCAAGTGCAAGCAGAACAAAACCTGAACTTCGTATTAAAACACTTCATAGACAATTAGATTGTTGTTGCTGAAAAAAGTTTAAGGTGACAAGAGAGGAAAAGTCCAACAACCCAAAACTTACACACTATGAGCAGCCAGGGGGTTTTTATCCCTTTTATGTTACACCAGAGAAACAGGGGAAACATGAAAAGTTTTAGGGAAAATTCGTGACCCAAGAATTTCATGTTACCCAAGTTGTCTCCCACATTTAGAGCCTCAGAAATAAAAACATTTATTTCTGAAAAGGCCTTAGGTAAACTTCTAATTCCTTCACTTGGTCTTCAACTATCCATGGTAACCCAGCAGCACTGTTTGCTTGCTGTCTATGCAACCTCAAGCAACTAACTCAAGATATTTGCTACTTCATTTCCATTGATGTAAAGTAGAAATAATTAGAGAAAAATATCTCCACTTAATTGCTTAACTTAAGAATTAATTTACTAAGCTGGGTGTTGGCTGTGCAAGCCTTTAATCCCAGTCAGTACTCGGGAGGCAGAGGCAAGTGAATCTCTATGAGTTTGAGGCCAGCCTGGGCTACAGAGCGAGTTCCAGGACAATCTCCAAAACTACAAAGAAATCCTGTCTCGAAAAAGCAAACAAACAAACAAACAAACAAAAAAGAATTAACTTACTAGATGCAAGACACTTGCTACCTTGCCTGGCACACAGGAAGTGTTGACGGCTGTTTTTTTTTAATCTGATCTCTCCTTCTTGACTATTATGCACACTTTGACTTTCTGTCTTCTGTCCTTCGTGTCTATTCCTTTCTTTTACTCAAATTCATTTTTCTTTGAAATTATATAGACACTTTAAAAGAGTATCCTGTACTGTTCCTCGCCAGCAGTTCACATTTCTCCAATATGCCTCCAATAGTTGCCACATTTAAAATATACTTTTTGGGAACTAGAGAGATGGCTCAGGAGATTCTAGTAACCATGCCCAGTTGGTCACAATCTCCTATAACTCCAGTTTCAGGGGCTCCCACATCACTGAAGTATGCCCCCTTCCCAAACGTGCACAAATAAAGACATAAAAACAGATCTAAAAAAAAAAAGCTTACCAAGTTTGCATTTACTTTTTATCTAATGTCTTGTTGCAACCGTTTCTCTAAATATCATTCCCTTTCCTTATCTTTCTCACGTGTAGCATTAGCATTTCCAGGTCTGGTGCTGGCAGCCAAGGAAGGGTTACAATTTAGCCCTTCTATCAAGTAACTGGGGACAGTCAGAAATGTTGCGCGTTGCATTCTGGGAATTGTGGTCCTTTGTGCTCCCCGATGAGGCGCTCGTTTGTGTTGGAGGGAGGGGGAAAGAAGAGGAAGGGTCTGCCCGACCGGAAGTGACCGCTAAGCCGACTGTGGGCGTGGAAAGAGGTGGGTATTTGGCCAGTTCCACGGCGTAGGCTCTTATCCTGAAGTTTGCTGACCATCTCACGCTTCTGGATCCAGGATCCTAAGGAGTGCGTCACTAGACTGGAGTCCAGGTATCACCATGGCAACCGCCCGCGCTCTGGGAGTGTGACGTCACCTCGCGGGCCCCCGTAATGCGGCCTGCGCGGGAGGAAGCCGGGGAGTCAGGGAAGGGGGCGCGCCTCCCCTCGGCGATGCCGGGGCCCGCCCGTTCCCCAAGGCTTTGTTCCTTTGTTCTGGGCCGGGCTAGCTGAGGTGCGGGGCAGCCCGCCTTCTGGTGTGTCCCGCAACAGGTGTGTCTGGCCTCCACCCGGGGAAATAGGAGGTCGCGGACCAGGTAGAGGGCGCCTAGTCAGACTCTAGGTAGAGTCGCTGCTACAAAGCAGAGGTGCTCCCTCTCCACTGCGCGTTTCTCTGCAGTAATCCAACCCTCCCCGTGCGCTCTGCTCTCGGATAGGACCTCCTGGCTACGCTGTAACAGAGTCTGAGGTGCGATTGTAAGACGTGTGTCCCGGACTGCATCTTGTGCCTTGAGGCCAACCTCGGAGGGCATAAGGCACCCACCCTGGAAGGGGAGCGGGACATTCAAGCCCCAGACTGAAGCTGCCTGGGTGTCCACGTGTCCAAGTTCTAGCGGAACCCGTAAAGCTCCTGAGATGGCAGGTAATGGGGACTACCAAGGCAGAGCCCGCTGGTGGGGGCCGAACTGAGAGGTGGGAGGAGGACGCAATGTGGTTAAGGGTAAAGAAACCCAATTGCGTAACCGAAAGAGACTTGGAACAATTAATTCTGTCTCCTGGACTTGAGGGTTTGAAAAGGAACAACAGCTTAGAATGTCTGATCCTCCTCTTGATGCTTTTTTAAATTACGTTTTAGAATAATAAATTGTAGTCAGGAAAAAAGAAAGCAGTGTTCTCTCTCCTCAATGAAAGGATAAGTTTATGGAATATCTTGCAGAGAGCAATTTTTCAAGCTTGTGCCGGTGCAAGTGTGGCCTTAAACTCGCCATTTTGGGTGCAAACAGCATCCTTGTCTTTTTAGTTCCTTTTACCCAAAGTGCCTATTCCTGTAATTTCTGTGTAGATCTTAAAAGCACTAGAGACTGACCGTTCTTTCACAATGCTGCCCTTACCTGTGAATTCAGCTGTTAGAATTCCTCCCAAGTTCTCTTTCAAGTAGCCTGGCCTCATTTCTTTTGATAGGTCCATGTAAGATCTCTAGACTTCTGACAAGTCTTTTCCTAGTTATCACATTTCTTACACTGTAGTCCCTAAAAGTAAATATAGTTCTTTAAATGTTCTTTTAAAAATACCTGGGAGTATATGTTACTATTTTTCCCTCAAACACTTTTGTTAAATTTTTTAGATTTATTTTTATTTTATATGTATGAATGTTTGCCTACATGTCTTTCCTTTTATTAGGTATGTGTGTTTGCACAAGTGTGTACATTGTATGCGTTGATAAACTCACCGAGATCCACAACTTTTTACTTCCTTGGTGATGCGATTAAAGGCATGTACCTTCATACCCTGCTGGTTACTGACATTTTATGTGCAGCAGAGAAAAGCCATCAAGAACGTCTTGCCTCACTTAAGGAAGACTTCAGATTTAGCTGTGTGAACCATGTGAATGGTTAAGTATTGAGAGACAAAGCTGAATCTTAAGGCAGTGTTATTTTTCCTCCTAAGCCTACTCAGGACAGTACAGAGGCCTCAGTTGAATCTTTTTGGGGCTTGGGGCATTCAGACATAAAGGAAGGGGAGATATGGCTGTTATTTTAGGAAGAAAAGTGAGTTTTTCTGGATTGCTGGCAGCAACAGACTAGTCAGATTCACCATTGCCTCTTCCTCCTTAGGCCTGTCCTTTGCAGACTCTGCCAGTCTCCACCAGGGACATCCTCTACTCCCATCAACTAGTTTTCGGGTAAGTTGAGATTTTTTCAAATGCCATGTCTCTTCTCAGAGTAATGAGTCTTTTATTGTGAGGTGTGTTTACCCCCAAATCCTCATTGGTGAATCTTTCTGGGCTCTCATCTGTCCTGTGATCTCACCTGGATCCTACTCTGCCTCTCCAGTTTGAAGGATGCATTCATCATTTTCCTCTTATCTTGTGTTATTACTAGGGTGGAGCTGGGGTGGGAAGAAGCACAGCATTTAATTTTTGACTTGAATAAATTGGCCAATGAAAAAAATTCAAAACTGGCAAATTTATGGAAGGTGAAACGAGTGCTGTAGATCTGAGGGAATGGAGACGTATGGGTTGTTTGCAAGGGACAGAGAGTTGCCTGGATGATGTGGAATTGTATTCTCTGAAGGACAAGTGACATTTGAATATTGGAGTGAGAAACTGAGTCTAGGTATGAAGAGAGTTATAAGCAGAGGTGTTCAGGTAAGCTCTGCTAACAGCCATAGATTGAGAAAGATTTGGAAGAGATGGCTTATTTTGGAAAATTAAAAAGTAATTGAATTCAGAATATAAGAGATCTTGAATATCTAATGAGAAGTTTGAAGACTTTATTCTCTAGGTCATCTGTGAGCCATAATAGATTTTAATGTAGGAAAAATGACCTGATACAGTTAGTAGGAAAATCTATCTTTAGAACTTAGACGAAAGAAAGAGAGATGGAGGAAGGGAGGGAGGGAGGGAGGAAGGGAGGAAGGAAGGAAGGAAGGAAGGAAGGAAGGAAGGAAGGAATTTTTCCATGGTTCTTAATCAACCTCAAAACCTCCTTCAGAAGGCTTCCTATTCTTATTCAGCCCACCCACCCCAGTTATTCCCAATTTCAACTTAAGTACTCTTAGCATGTGTTGAAAGTATATTGTCATTTTTCTGTATCATAGAGGAATTAATTCTAGGACCCCCTAACAGTTGATTTCAAAACATGTAGATCCTTGAGTCCCTCACTTAGATGGCACAATATTTGCATATAGTCTTTTCACATCCTCCTGTGTACCTTAGTCATCCTAGATACTTACATATCTAATGCATTGTAAATATTGTGTAAACACAGTATAAATATTATGTAGTTCTGTATTATTTAGGGATAGTGACAAAAACAATATCTGTGTGTATTCTTTGAATATACTTAATCTATAGTTGGTTGAATCCACAGATGCAGAGACTAACTGTAATTGGACAAGTTTTAGCATACATAGAAGTTCATAAAAACATCATTATGTTCCAAGTGGTTAGTGAACATATCCATAGTCAAGAGAACACCTTTGTGTTACTTGAATCCTTTTAAATTTACTAAGATTCATTTTAACTTTTCTTTTGCTCAGAATATGAGCCCCCTTATGGATGACCAGAGAGTACTGTATAGGCAGGTAAATTTGCTTACATTGGGTGAAGTGTTCAATATATATATGCTAGTTTCCTATTGTTACTATAATTAACTATAGAAGCTTAGTTTGCTCAAAACCATAGAGACAAAAATCCAAAATGTAGCTGGGAGTGGTGGCACAGGCCTTAAATCTTCAGCACTTGAGAGGCAGATGCCAGCCAGGATTGTATAGCAGGACCAACTTTCAAACTAGAGACCCCACAACATAATCTTTGAGCCAACAGGAATATTTGGGTATTTGTTTTGTTTGTTTGTTTGTTTGTTTTGATTTTTTTGAGACAGGGTTTCTCACTCACAGAGAGCCGCCTCTGCCTCCCGAGTGCTGGGATCAAAGGCATTCGCCACCAATGCCCAGCTTGGGTATGTTTTAAAGATGTGAAGATCTCACTTTATGTTTATTTTTATTTTATTTTTTTGCCAAGTTAATTGTAATGGTATAATTTAGTGATTAATCCATCATATCTTAATTATTTTGAAAATTTTTAATCCTATGCAGCTTTCAAAACACATGAGGCCTATTTGAGCTGTTGTCTTCTTCCTGAATTTTATAACATGGCACTGTTTCAGTTACTTTATACTTTGATGTCCTTTGAAATGTAATAGGGCAGCTGGGTGAGATGGCACATGCATTTTAGTCCCAGCACTGAAGAGACAAAGGCAGGCTGATCTCTGAGTTTGAGGCCAGCCTGGCCTATAACATGAGTTCCAGGACAGCCAGGATATCAAAAATATTATTGATGATAGCAGTTATAATATTAATATTTGCTGTCTTAGAACTCAGAGGTAAGGAGGAATAACAAGGACAGCATTGGCCAGTAATGACTGAGAGCTTACTTAGACACCTAAATTAAACCCTTCACAGGAAAAAAGGGTTTGGTTTTTGGGTTTTGGTGCTGAGGATTGACCCTAGGGCCTTGCACATACTCTGCCAATGAGCTTCATTACCACCTTCCACATGGAATATTATTTTTATTCTTAATACTAATCCCATGGGTAATGTACTATGTAGATGGATTTTTCTTTGGGCTACCAGCTCATAAAATAATAGCATAGAGACTTTATTATTAATTTTGAAAGCTTGGCTTTAGCTTAGACTTGCCCCACTGCCTTCTTCTTCTTCTTTTTTTTTTTTTTTAATGTTCAAGGTTAATCTTTAAAAAACAAAAACCAAACTACTATTTAACAGCCCACTAAAAACATCCACATGGAACAAAGGAAAATACTCAACTTCAGTACAAGCAAAAGGAAAAGCAGTCTCCAGGAAGTCCAAGTTACACACTTCCACATACTGCAGTGGAGACAGTTCTGTTCACATCAGCTGAAAATTATCTTTCTACCACTCATCCCATTTCTAAAATGAGAATTTAAGTTCTGGTCTTTGATTTGCTTCAAAAAGTACTGTAACAGATATTGTTTTAACAATTCAGTAATGTTTGATATAGATTCATCAGATTAAAAAACAAGCAAGGGCTTCCACCCACACCTTAATGCCAGAATAAAGATCACCTCTGAGCATTAGGCAGTTATTTAATACAAGATCAGTCCTCAGTAGTGGTGGCTGTACCAGTCCCATTAGCTCTTTTTTTTTTAAAGAATCCTTTTTTTTTTTTTTTTTTTTTTTTTTTTTTTTTTTTTTTTTTAGATTTTATTTATCATATATACAACATTCTGCTTCCATGCATATCTGCACACCAGAAGAGGGCACTAGCGCTCATAACAGATGGTTGTGAGCCACCATGTGGTTGCTGGGAATTGAACTCAGGACCTCTGGAAGAGCAGTTGGTGCTCTTAACCTCTGAGCCATCTCTCCAGCCCCCATTAGCTCTTATAACTTAAATTAACCCATTTATTTTCATCTCCATTCTGTCACATGACCTGTTACCTCATCTTTCCATACTGCCCATGCTGCTTCCTCACTGGCTGGCAATTCCATCTTCTTCTTCCCAGAGTTCTCTCTCTGTCTGGAAGTCCCACGTTTGCCCCATGCCTAGCTATTGGCTGTTCAGCTCTTTATTGCATCAATCATAGCAATACATTTCCACACAGTGTACAAATATTCCACATCAGTAATATTTTAAAATTTCCTAAAGTGGACATCCTAGGAACATACACTAGTATCACTTTTTTTACCTGCCTTGCTTCTATGGATATTATCAATTTTACCTGTTACTTAAGGCTAAGCAATAGAATACTTGATGTTTTAGGAATCAGTGACCTTTAAGGATGTTGTCGTGAACTTCACCCAGGAAGAATGGAAACACCTGGATCCTACACAAAGAGATTTGTTCAGAGATGTGACATTGGAAAATTATACACACCTGGTCTCCATAGGTGAGGGTGATGCCCCCCAGTTAAGATCCTGATGTGGAGAGAGGGTATATACCTGGTCTCTGTAAGTAAGTTTATATGGTATAGGAGGCAAATGCACACCTCATCTCTGTATGTAAGGGTAGCCCCAAGTTTTGATAGGGTATGGGGGAGGAAGGTACATACTTCATCTCTGTAGATGAGGGTAACCCCAAGTTTAGATGGGATGTGGGAAGCACATTATCTCTTGTGCTTAGTTTAGGAGTCAACAATTTTAAATTTGGGAAGTTTCTCCTCATTATGAGTAGAACAGCCGACTAATCATTCTCCTCTCCAGTTGGGCTTCTCAATTGCTCCATTATTCATAACAGTTGGCATGCTATTCATCTCACCAGACTTTTCCCATGTGGAATGTCTTAGAAACAGAGTGGTGAGATTGCATTTTGATACATTGCTTTTTCCTTATTGCAGACAGATTCCTTTTTTTTCCCCCCTCTGAGCAGGACTCCAGGTTTCCAAACCTGATATGATTTCCCAGCTAGAGCAAGGGACAGAGCCATGGATTGAGGAGTCATGCATTCCTGTTGGTTCCATGGGAGGTAAGTATTGTGTGACAACACAGCACTGCTCTCCGCCGCAGCTGCCACCCTGGCGAGAAGTGAGTCTGTGTAGTTGTAGTTCCACTCAGAGCATCACCTGTGGAGAGATGAGATTCCATTTTACATTCTCTTCAGAGGAGGCATCCTTCCCGATTGTTGTAAAGCAGACCTCTCAACCTGCACTCTGCATTCCCTCTTCCCACTTTCTTTTGACCCAGAATTGTCCTCTCACTTTCTGTTTTAGGGTTCCATCTCTTTTAGCATCAAATGAAACACATGCTATTCCTAGATGCTTTCACTCAACACTGGCTATCATTCACTTTCTTTTCTTTGTTCCCAACCAAACTAAAAATGAGTTCCACACCTGCAGCCTTTTTTTTTTAAGCCCTTACTCCCTTTTTAACTCTCATGCATAGTTTCATATTCTGTCACTTTATCATTCTGTTCTCCAGACTCTTAATATTTTTTTTCTAAGTCATCAGTTTCCAAACCACACAAGGAATTTCTTCGAGGTCCTGACTCTGAAATAACCTAGTCACCTTGTTTATTGCTATACTAGTCACAATAGCCTAGATGCCCACGAACACAGGAATGGATGAAGAAAATGTGATACATCTACACAGTGGAATTTTATTCAGCCATAGAGAAAATGAAATCATAGCCAGGAAGTAGTGGTGTATGCCTTTCATCCCAGCATTTGGGAGGTAGAGGTAGGCAGATCTCTGAGTTCAAGGCCAGCCTGGTCTACAGCGCTATTACACATAGAAACCCTGTTTAGAAAACCAAAAAGAAGGGAAAAAAAAAATGAAATGGACATTTGCAACACCATTATGTTCCTTGTATTCTAAGTTTCTTCAGGACTCTCATGGTAAAGGAATGTTGAACTTTGTCAAATGCCTTTTCTGCGTTTATTGAGATGACCATGTGGTTTTTGTCCTTAGTCTATTTATGTCTTATTTTATTCACGGATTTGTATATATTGAATCAGCCTTGCATCCTTAGCATAAAAAACAGTGTGGTTGCTATGTATGATCTTAATGTGTTCTTGAATCTGGCTAGCAGATACTTCATTGCAAGTTTTTGTACTTATATTTATCAGGGAAATTAATCTATACTTTGTTGTTGTTTTGTCTTTATCTGGTTTGATAGCAGAGTAAGTAGCTTTGTAAAATGAGTTTGGTGGTGTTTCCTTCCTTTTCTGCTTTGTGGAGCAGTTTGAAAGGATAGGTATTAACTCTTCCTTTAAAGCTTGGTAGAATTCAGCAATAGAAGTCCAGGACTTCTCCTTGTGGGCAGACTTTTAATTACTGTCTCAATGTTGTTACTGTTATGGGTCTGCAAACATTGTTTATAACTTCATTTAATTTTGCTAACTTACATGTATTTAGGGATTTATCCTTTCTCTAAGATTTTCTAGCTTTTATGAGTATGTTTCAATGTGTTCCCTAATGATCCTCTGGATTTCATTGGTGTCTTTTGTAAACAGTTCCTTTGAATCTCTAACTTTGCAAAATATGCATCTTCTGTTTCTTTTGTTGATTTGGCTTGAGATTTGTCAATCTATTTATCTCATCAAGGAACTAACTCTTTGACTTATGTGTTGTCTTTTTAAGTCCCTATTTCATTAATTTCAGCCCTAATCATTATTTCTAGTCATGTGCTTTTTGGCTTGGCCTGTGTCATAGTTTACTTTCTATTGCTGTGATAAACATTATGACAAAAAAAAAAAAAAAAAAAAAAAAAAAAACTTCTTGGGAAGGAAAAAGTTTTTTTTTAAGCTTAAACTTCCTGGTCAAAGTCCATTATTGAGAAGCCAAGGCAGTATAGGAACCTGGAAGCAGGACCTACAGCAGAAACCATAGAGGAACACTGACTTGCTTTCAGCTTGTAGCTCATTCAGCTTGCTTCTTACTACAATTCAGGACCACCTGCCCAGGGGTGGCACAGTGGGCTTGGCCCTCCCAGTTAATGTTAACCAAGAAAATGCCCACACAGACTTGCCTACAGGCCAGCCTGATCCAGGCAGTTCCTCAGCTGAAGGAAAGTTCCACTTCTCACATTAGTCTAGCGTATATCAAATTGACAAAAACTACTAAAGCTTGTTGTTTTTTGGTTTCTTGGTTTTTTTTTTTTAAATTTAATTTTATTATTTTTTTTCTAGAACCTTGAAGTTGGGAGCAGGAGAGATGGCTTAGGGGTTAAGAGAGCTTGATGCTCTTCCAGACTACCCAAGTTCAGTTCCTAGTAGCTTCGTAAGATAGCTCGCAGCCACCTTAACCCCAGACCCAAGGAATCTGACACCTCTGGCCTCTTTGGACACAGGTACCCATGTACATATGCCCATACACATAATTTTAAAAACTAATTTTGTGTGTGTGTGTGTGTGTGTGTGTGTGTGTGTGTGTGTGGTGTGTGACACTGGGGTATATCATTAGATTTTTTTTTTTGCTATTTGTCTTTTTTTTTTTTTAATTATGTGTGGGTGTCAATATCAGCATGTGGGTATGCACGTGTGATGCCCACTCCTCTAGTTCTTTTTTTCTTAGGGGGCAGTGGTTAATGTATGCACTTACAACTATGAACTTAGAATTGCCTTAGCCCTATCCAAGAGGTTCTGGTAAATTGTGCTTTCATTTTCTTTTGATTCTAGGAAGTTCTTTATTTCCTTCCTGATTTCTTCAATAACCCTACTGTTCGTTCATAAGTGTCTTGCTCAGTCTCCAAGAATTTATGTTGTTTCTGTGATTTTTCTTGTTGATGGTTTCTAGATTTATTCCATTATGACCTGATGAGATACAGTGAATTAATTTTGATCCTTTTGTATTAAGGCTTGCTTGTGGCCTCTAAGATGATTTTAAGGGCTTCTGAGAGGAGTGTTTGTTCTGTGTCTGATGGGTAGGATTGTGTAGAGATCTAAAGCCAAATGATATATAGTATAATTTAGCTCAGAAGTTTCTTTGGTGATTTTTAATTTGGAAGACATACCTAAAGGTGAGTGTGGATTATTGAAGTGTTTCCATATTTCTGTATGAAGACCTATATGGCCTTTCCTCCCTTTCAGTATTTGTGACATTAAATTGGGAACCCAAACATATATCTCCTTAATAAATTGTCCCCTTTGTTAATATGCAGTGGCCTTCTTTATCTATTCTGACTATTTTGGGGTCTTCTTTATCTAATATCAGAGTGACTATGCTAGTTTAATGTAAGTTTGCATTTGTTTAGCCAATGGTAGTGGTGGTGGTGCATGTCTTTAATCCCAGCACTGGGAGGCAGAGGCGGATTGATCTCTGAGTTTGAGGCCAATCTGATCTACAGAGCAAGTTAAAAGTTTGTTTTTGCTTGGAAGGTTGATTTCCATCCTTTGGAAACAGTTTATGAGTGCCTTTGAAAGGAGAGTGTGTTTCTAATAGACACCAAATAGATCTTGTTTTGTAACCCAGTCAGTTGTGTTTTTATATTGGTGAGTTGAGGCCATTTGCATTTGAAGTTATTATTGAAGAATTTGCAATGTCCTATGGTTTTATTGGTTGTTCTGGTTGACTGGATTATTGCTATAGTTCTTTTCTTTGTCCCCTACCAGGAGTTTTCTGGTTTATTGTGTTAGCATACTAGATTTGTTCCTGACTTCCATTTGTGCATCTGTTCCTGTCATGAAAAAAATGTATGTCTCATGTACTTTTGTGCTGCTTTCCCTTTTCTTACATATTGTATCCCTTTAAGTGTGTTTTGCATTGCCTTAGGTTGTGCTTTGTCTTAGTTAGGGTTTCAATCACTGTGAAGAGACACCATGACCATGGCAACTCTTACGAAGGAAAACATTTAATTGGGCTGGTTTACAATTTCAGAGATTTAGTCCATTATCATTATAGCAGAACATGGCAGTATGCAAGGAGACATGGTGCTAGGGAAAGAGCTGAGAGTCCTACGTCTTGATCTGCAGGCAACAGGAAATAAACTGAACCTAGGAGTAGTTTGAACATAGGAGACCCTCCAACAAGGATATACCTAGCCATACCTACCTCAGCAAAGTCACACCTCCTAAGAGTGTCACTCCCTATGAGTTTATGGGGGCCAATTACATTCAAACTACCACATGCTTGTCTTGAAATTTTTGAAAAGACAACTTATCTGAGGATAACAATTTTTAAATTTTATTATTTTGTGTGTATGGGTGTTTTGCCTACATGTATTTCACCACATTCATGTACTGCCCTTGAGGTTCAAATGAAAGCATTGGATACTTGGGACTGGGGTAAAGACAATTGTGAGCCTCCATGTTGGTTCTAGGGATCAAACCTAGCACTCTGGAAGAGCAGCCAGTATTTGTAACTACTAGCTATCTCCAGCCTCAACAATCCCCTTTTTAGATTTATTTTATGTATATGAACATGTATGTAAAGAACATGTATGTTTCTTTACCACCTCAGGCCTCGTGCCCACAGAGGTCAGAAGAGGGTGTCAGATAGCCCGGAACTGGAGTTTCAGGCAATTGTGGGCCACTATGTAGGTGCTGGAACCAAACCCAGGTCCACTGCAAGAATAGTAAGTGGTCTTAACTGAGCTACCTCTCCAGCCTCCAGTTGCCTCCTTCCTGAGAATGTCTTGGAGACCTGTAATCCTGATGTGTGCTTTTTCTCACTGGTCTGATTGGTTTTTTTGTGGGCTGGTTATCAACATCTTCAATTACTTTGCCACGTACTGAGTATAGGAATATGTTGGCCAGTGCCCATAGGTTTTTGTATGTAGTAAAGTATAGATAGCTCTTGTGGGAGAGGTGAAAGTAATCATATTCTTCTAGAATTTTCTCTAATCCTTCATTCCTATCCTAGATATTCTCTTGGTTGTTGAATAGAGAATTTGACATTGTGTGAACATTGGTTGTGGTATCACTTTACCTTCATATATTTCACACTTATGATTGGTTATCAAACACTTTTCTCTTTCTTAATAGCACAAGACTCTATGGCCCTCATGTGCTTCACCCTACAATACATTCAGAAGATATTCTTTATTGTGTTTAATTTGTGTGTTGGCCAGGGGTGCGTGTGTTTATTTGGAGGTCAGAGGACAACTCTACTACTCAATTCTCTCATTCTATGTGGATCATGGGGATTGGACTCACTGTCAGGCCCAGCAGAACAGGCACTTTCATTGACTAAGGCATTTATTTCACCAGCCTCAGAAGATATTTCTTATGATTATTTGCTATGCAAACATATTTTCTTGGGTATTATTCCTCTTGGTGAAAACATATGTCTGAAACACATTGCTAAAACTGTGCTACAGTGACTGTGGTTTTGCTGAAGTTCTGCCTCTATAAGGCTACGTACACTGATGCACACTATCCCATTATCTGTGGAGATATGGGGAGGAGATAGTGGGCAGCATAGTGTCTGCCATTCTGTTCATGTTTACTGTAGTTGTGACTGGACTTACAATACAGTGTCTTTTCTTACCTCCAGTGGGACTGGAGGAATATTTTCTTTTATTCTATCACCCCTGAGGATCTTCCTCACCTTTGTCCTATTCTCATCTACATTCTTGTGGGCTTCAACTATTTTCTTTCCTCTTCAGCTGGAATTTTGTATCTTACACATAAACATCCTATTATAATGCTGCGTTTGGCATCTTCCACTCCTATACCCATGTAGTCCTCCATTTTTTTTCCAAAATCCAAAATGGTAGACTTGAATTTTTTTATCTTTCCTTCCATAAATTATTTCCTCACTATTTATAACTCTTAATTTTTAGCAAAGATGAAATTCTTACTTCCAGTTTACAGGCTAACAATCTTGGTTAAGTCTTACTTAAGTCTCTGCTGTTTCTCCGGAGTTTGCATCAGCATCCTTTGCTTTGTTGCATCTTTTAGAGTAAGTACTTTTCTTTGTATCCTTAGTCATCTCTGTTACCTTTTTTTTTTTTTTTTTTTTTTTAAATTCATGGAAAAGTTTTTTTTCCTTTTTTTTTTTTTTTTTTTTTCTAAATTCATGGAACAGTTTATTTGCCTATCTCACTTGGCAAGCCAATCCTTTTGAGTAGATGTGTCCATTGTACTCTGCTTGGACGCAGCTTGTGTCCACAGGAAGAAACACTGACCAGGGAAGTCCTAAACTCAAGAACCTTAGCAGCTCATCTCCATTTGAGATTCTGTTCTCCTTTGTCATGGCAGGTGTTTCAGTGATGGGTATAGTGCCAGTGGCCTTGTAGCATCCTGCGAGGTGAAGTGCTGGCCTTTCTTTAAGAACATGGGCTGCCACAAGCATAGGGTGAGCTTCAGATCCTCTCCAGGCATGGACATTTCTTTCTCTGGAGGCAAGATAACATGACAGGCCATGCCCCAAGTCAGTGAGAACATAAGACATAAAATAAGACACAAAGGGTTTGTGGTGGCCACCTTTCTCTTGCTGAAGATGTAAGCATGGGCCTCCACCCTTTGGTGGCTTTGGGTAGAACCTGGCTTAACTGTGACTAAACCACACTCAGATCCTCCTGCCTGTACTTCGGACCAGAACACCCAGGTTATCCCTTGCCTTAGTCCTCTCAATGTGGAATGCTTCAATGCCCGTCACCACAGTGGGAATGTCTGTGTTATATTCCAGCAATTCATACACATCTCCTGTCTCCAAAATACCATGCTCTAATGTACCTCTTACCACTGTGTCCCAGCCCGGCTTTGGTGGCGCACACCTTTAATCTCAGCACTTAGGAGGCAGGGGCAGGCGGATCTCTGTGAGTTTGAGACCAGCCTGGTCTACAAGAGCTAGTTCCAGGACAGCCTCCAAAGCCACAGAGAAACCCTTTCTCAAAAAACCAAACCAAACCAAAACAAAACAAAAAAACAACTGTGTCCCAGAGACTGAGTATGTATAGGTAACAGAAAGGGCTTCTCCAGGTCCCAGGTGAGCACCAGGGTGTAAGGGTCCACAGCATCCAGCAGCTTCTGTACCAACTTCACACTTAGTTCAGAATCACATTACTCAAGGGCACAGAGTGCACAGAGCCTGTAATGACTGGAGTTGCCTCTCCTTCAAAGCCAAAAAGGTGAGCAGCTTCTGGATCTCCAGCTGTGCTAGTTCCCTTCATCTATGAGCCCTCCACAGTGTCTACCTGGTTCACATACACCATAGCATGCTTGGCCCCAATCTGTTTAGCCATTGTGCTCTTGTGTCTGGGAATGGGGCCTTCAGCACCTGCCACCACCAGGATGCAGCCATGCAGCCATGCTTTAAGTAATCCACCATGATTGAGCAAGTCTTTGTGGGTATTGTGGCAGGCAGGAGTGTTGTAATCCACATGGGCTGCACTGATAGTAATAAACCTAAACTCTCTCCTCTGAGACAACTGTCCTCATACTTCAACTTTTTTTTTTTTTTAATTATCATGTATACAGTGCATGCCAAAAGAGGGCACCAGATCCCATTACAGAGGGATGTGAGCCACTATGTGGTTGCTGGGAATTGAACTCAGAACCTCTGGAAGTCAGTGCTCATAACCTCTGAGCCATCTCTCCAGCCCCACATACTTCTTGAACTTAACCATACCTCCTTGGCTAGAATTTTTATGATTGCTTTAGTCAAGTAGTCTTACATGGGATTCCACATGGCCAATGCTACTCACATTTACATGGGATTTGTTGTGCACAAAGGTCTTCAGGGTCTTCGGTGACTGCAGCCAACCTTGTAGCAATGGAGTCAGGCTGATACTTAGACCACTGAAGGAGGATGTCATTTGCAATAAGGTGGAGGCCACCATTACATAGTACTGCATCAGTCTTCCAGATGCTAAGATTAAAGGTGTGCAATACCACACCCAGCTCACCTCTTAAATTTAAACTATCACTTTAAATGTCATTCTTATTTGTCCATCTATGAAAGTGAAGTAAGCATTGTCTTTCGAGTTTTAGTTTGTTCTCCTTAGCTCTTTCCACTTTCTTCCCAAATAATAATATATATTTGAGAATCCTCAAAGTATTAAATCATCTCCAACAATGGCAGTTTTCTTTTGCTCTGTCCAGAAAATACTGGCCTTTTATTTTCTTTCAGACTGGAAGATAAGACCTGAAAATAGTGTGTCACCCCTAGAACTTGACATTTCTGAACAACATCAGTCTTCAAAGGCAGTAGTAAACAATTGCAAAAGGGATGATTACAGCTTCAGTGTCGTAGAAATGTGGAAATCTGATGGAAGTTTACAGAACCTTCAGGCAAACCAACAGACTCTGCCACGGGAAATAAAAATAACTGAGGAAACAGCCCCCACTTGTGAGAGCAGTCTCCGTGTGAGTTCAAGCCTTGTAACACAAACAGAAGTAGTTGTGGAACAAACTTCCATCAAAACAAGAGCTAAGCAGAATTCACTCCCCATCAAAAAAGAGAAGCTATGTAAGTGCAATGAATGTGGTAAAGCTTTTACTTACTGTTCTGCTCTCATTCGCCATCAAAGAACACATACTGGAGAAAAACCCTATAAATGTAATGAATGTAACAAAGCTTTCAGCCGAAGTGAAAACCTTATAAATCATCAGAGAATTCATACAGGAGATAAACCATACAAATGTGACCAGTGTGGAAAGGGTTTTATTGAGGGTCCATCTCTCACTCAACATCAAAGAATTCATACTGGAGAAAAGCCCTACAAATGTGATGAATGTGGGAAGGCCTTTAGTCAGAGGACCCATCTTGTTCAGCATCAGAGAATTCACACTGGTGAGAAACCATACACTTGTAATGAGTGTGGAAAATCCTTCAGCCAGAGAGGTCACTTTATGGAGCACCAGAAAATTCATACAGGAGAAAAACCTTTCAAATGTGAAGAATGTGAAAAAACCTTCACCAGGAGCACACACCTTACTCAACACCAAAAAATTCATACTGGAGAGAAAACCTATAAGTGTAATGAGTGTGGCAAGGCCTTCAATGGGCCTTCAACATTCATCCGTCACCATATGATTCATACTGGGGAAAAGCCTTATGAATGCAATGAGTGTGGAAAAGCCTTCAGTCAGCACTCAAACCTGACTCAACATCAAAAAACACACACTGGTGAAAAACCCTATGATTGTGCAGAGTGTGGAAAATCCTTTAGCTATTGGTCATCCCTTGCTCAACATCTGAAAATTCATACAGGAGAAAAGCCGTACAAATGCAGTGATTGTGGAAAGGCCTTCAGTTACTGCTCATCCCTTACTCAGCATCGGCGAATTCACACTCGAGAAAAACCCTTTGAGTGCAGTGAGTGTGGGAAGGCTTTCAGTTATCTGTCAAACCTTAATCAGCATCAGAAAACTCACACCCAGGAGAAAGCCTATGAATGTAAGGAATGTGGGAAAGCCTTTATTCGGAGTTCATCTCTTGCTAAGCATGAAAGAATTCATACTGGAGAGAAGCCTTATCAGTGTCATGAATGTGGGAAAACCTTCAGCTATGGCTCATCGCTCATTCAGCATAAGAAAATCCATACTGGTGAAAGACCTTACAAGTGTAATGAATGTGGGAGAGCCTTTAACCAGAAAATACACCTTACACAACACAAGAGAATTCATACAGGAGCAAAGCCGTATTCATGTCCCAAGTGTGGTAAGACCTTTCGACACTGTTCATCTCTTGCACAACATCAAAAAACACACACAGAAGAAAAAGCCTACCAGTGCAACAAATGTGAAAAAACCTTTAGCCAGAACTCCCATCTAACTCAGCATCAGCAAATTCATACAGAAGAGAAGCCCTATAAGTGCATTGAATGTGACAAATCCTTTACCCAGAGCATGCACCTAACTGAACATCAGAGTATTCACACTGGAGAAAAACCTTACAATTGTCATGAATGCCCAAAGACTTTCAGCCAGAGCACATACCTCATTCAGCATCAGAAGATTCATTCAGGAGAGAAGCTTTTTGGATGTGATGACTGTGGAAAAGCCTTCAGGTATCGCTCTGCTCTAACCAAACACCAGAGACTGCACCCTGGTATAGCTGCTCTAGGAACATCATAAATGTAGCTGCTGTTTTCACTTTGGTTTTTATAGTGATGAATCAGAGCGGGGTAAGGAACCCCTAAATTATTTTAAATATTCCCTATCTCATGATGAGATAGTCCTTTGGGCTGATCTAATCCAAGTATGTCATTAAACAACATTGTGACAAGCTACTTTAAGTTTCTTTTGTGAATAAGCTGAGACAAGATTGAGAGATAATTTGAAAGGTAGCTTGGAGTTTTATAGTCAGTTTTGTATATTTGCAAGCTATTCTTAAACAGTTGCACTATACATCCACATTTTGTCTTGGATCTACAATGTTTATGGGTTTTGCATGCTTCGCTAGGAGAAGAAATTTGTGCTTCAGTAACTAAGAATTTGTTTTGCTCCTGTTCTAATGCACTTATGTTATTCAGGTAACTGGTCCTTCAATAAAAGTAATCATAAAATACAATCAAACCCAATTGCCTGCAGCAGCAGGTTCATTGGTGTGTACCTGTATTTCCAGCTTCTTAGGCTGAGGTGGGAGGGTCACAATCCCTGGAGTCTAAAGTAGACTGGATAGTACATTGAATCCTTATCTCAAAAATCTGTATTTCCTCTTCTAGCTTTAAAGTATCTTTTTCTGGGAGTTAGAACTAGAGAGGGCTTCTTCTACAATATGTTCAGCCCTGATTACACATGACGTTTAAGTTGGGGTTGCAATAACAAATAGACAGGTATAGTTTAAACAACAAAATTTCATTTCTCACAGTTCTGGAGGTTACTGTCTGGAGAGGGCCCACCATCTGGTTATAGTCAGCTATGTTCTTATGTACTTACATGGCAGAAAACAGAGAGAACCTTCCAGACACTTGTTCCTAATAGCATCATATTGGGGAGTAAGTTTTCAGCTTATGAATTTGGAGATATTCAGTCCTAACAACTGAGGACAACAAGATTTATTACAAAGGCTGCATTAAAGACTCATTTCAGTTGGCTCAGGGTATGGGACCCAGGCTTCAGAAAAATCTGTCAGCCCTAGTGCTCACTTTTTGATACATAGTCTCTACTATATAGCCCTGGCTGTCCTAGAACTCATTGAGTAGACCAGGCTGGCCTTGAACTCACAGACATCTGCCTGTCTGCCTCTTTTGGGTGCTAGGATTAACAGCATGTACCACCGTGCCTGGCTATTTAACATCTAATTTGTACATTGGAAAGAACAATTGACTTAGACTTCAGTACCTACCGCTTTAGTTAGTTTTTCCCTTTGGCTGTTCACAGATTACTTTGTTCAGTTCACATTATGAAGCTTTGTAACATGAAAAATAAATGATCCAGAGACTGATATTGGGGTTCAAGGTTCAAGCTGAAGATGAGAAAAGCAAAGTTGGCTGGTCACTAGCTCTTACTCTACCTCAGACTGAAATGTGATCCTGGGTCCAACAAACCTCAGACTGTAACCTCTCTTCAGCATGGATGGAGAATCCTGATACTTCAATGTCTTCCTATCCTCAATGTAGCTGGAGAATGAATGCCTGATACTGACTACTGAAGACCCTGTTCCTGTCTTATACTCTTCTAGTTTGGGATTAAAGGTGTGTGATCCCAGGTGCTGAGATCATCTTTATGTGAGCTGTTTCTCTTTAGGACTGGATCAGTCTTGTGCAGATCCAGGTGGCCTTGGGCTCACAGAGATCCATGTACCTCTTAATCCTGAGTCCTAGGATTAAAGGTGTGTATCACCACTGTCTGATCTCTATATCTTGAGGCTGACTTTGCTTTCTGAATTGTCAGGCAAGCTTTAATAAATCATAAATAATATATCACCACAAAGCTTTTGAGTGTCATCTGTTTATATAGATTTTCTCAAGCTCTGGGAGACAAGTTAATTTGCTTCTTCACCAAAGTGCAGAAACTAAGCCACAGTGTAAAGTTTCACTTAAACTCTGTTTCCTTGTATCAGAATCAGGAAACAGTGTTTTATCATCCTAGAGAATGATCTGCATTAGCCTTGCTTTCAGTTTTGAATGAGTGAATTTACTAAGTATATGGCAAGCAAAATATGTACAAGGTGTTATGACAATCTTCTGTGTATTGTATTGTTCCAAATTTAGTCTATTTGTTGTGAAGTGAAAAGCTTTTTTTTTAAAGATTTTATTTATTATGTATACAACATTCTGCTTCTATGTATATCTGCACACCAGAAGAGGCACCAGATCTCATAACAGATGGTTGTGAGCCACCATGTGGTTGCTGGGAATTGAACTCAGGACCTCTGGAAGAGCAGTCAGTGCTCTTAACCTCTGAGCCATCTCTCCAGCCCCGAAAAGCTTTTTTTAAACAGGTTTATTTATTTATTTATTTATTTTTGGTTTTTTGAGACAGGGTGACAGGGTTTCTCTGTGTCTCTTTGGAGCCTATCCTGGCACTCACTCTGGAGACCAGGCTGCCCTCGAACTCACAGAGATCGGCCTGCCTCTGCCACCAATGCCCAGCGAAAAGCTTTTAAGATTTATTTTTACTTATGTGTATATCTGAGTGAGTGAATGGCATATGTGTGTAGGTGTCCTAGAAGGTAAGAAAAGGGCCTGGGACAGGCAGCTATGAGCTGCTCACAGTGGGTGCTGGGTGCTGAATTCCTGCCCTCTTTAGGAGCAGTGAGCACTTCTAACCACTGAGCCATCTCCCCAACCCTGGACATTTTAGATGATTGGGTGAGGACCATCCACAAACCAGCCTCTGAGCTCTTGTGAGCCCAGGTCAGGTTTTCAACTGGAAATCATCATGCATAGGTATTAGAAATTAATATTGTTAGCTAGGGAGTAGTAGTTACATATCTTTAATCCCAGCACTAGGGAGGCAGAGGCAGGTGGATAACTGAGTTCAAGGCCAGTGTGGTTTACAGATTGCTTTCTTATGGAAATTCTGTCTTTGTTACAAAGCCTAAATGAATATGGATGGCTGTGACACATAATTCCTGTTCTGTACTCTAATCAGTTAGATATGGGCAGTCAATAAATACTCAAGAAATATGTCAGAACAAGTTAATGTTAAGGGAAAGGTCCATTAACTTTCCTCTTTTTAAACTGTAGTTAGGGGATGGAGAGTGGCTCAGTGGTTAATATTTGTTGCTCTTCCAAAGTATCCAGGTTTGGTTCCCAACATTTCCAAGGCTCACATCCATCTGTAACTCAGGTTCCAAGGATCTAGTGCCCTTCAGATACACATGCAGACAAAATACATCTAAAATAATAAATCAAGCTGGATGTAGCTGGAGAAATTTGTTTTCTATGGGAATTTGATGTAGAAGGAGGGGGACAACATAAGCCATCTCATAGAGTCAACTTGTTTCTGGATCCTCTCTCGGACACATCCTCTGTCTCAGATGGGCTTCCAGACGCCTGAGCCGTGGAATCTTCTAAACAGGATTCACCCTTACCCTGTCCTCTGAGAAATGTAACCCTGAAAACAGAAGTCCATGGCAAAGAAATTCTAGAACCATCAGAGGATTTGATGACCCTAGTGTTGCTCAAGAAAATTAGTAACCCAAGGGTCAGTTGATGTTGGTAAAGGAAGATGTTTTCAGAGGTCTGTGTTTGGTCTCTCATTCACTCTTCTCTAGGCAGAATCTCAGCAAGGAGTTGTTCACAAATTCAACTAGTTAAATTGAAAAAAAATATGTCCAATTGCTAGAATAAACATTAGAGATTTATTCTCATAGTTCTGGAATTTAGAAGTCTGAAATCTATTTATCTCAGCCAAAGTCAAAGTGCTGGCAAGCTCTGGAAGACAGACTATTCCTTTCCAGCTCCAGTATTATTTTTTAATTATTTGTTTATTTATTTATCTTCTTTTGCTTTTTTGAGACAGGGTTTCTCTGTATTGTTTTGGAGCCTGTCTCCTCTGCCTCCCAAGTGCTGGGATTAAAGGCATGTGCCACCAATGCCCAGCCCAGCTCCAGTATTTCTTGCATTCCTTGGCTTGTGGCTGTACCCTTCTAATCTGCAGCCACTGACTCATCTGAGCCATTGATACCCTTCCCTTGGCCTCACTTTAATAAAGACCTAAGATTTCATATAAGGCCCACCTGGATTATTTGTTTCATATCTTCATTTCAAGATCCTTGGCCACATCTGCAAAGTTCTTTCGGCATAGAAGCTATCATTCACAAGTTGCAAGAATTAGTGTAACCAAACCTCTCCGGGAATGTGCCATCACTTGTCTCCCTGTCTTTGGAAATTAGAAAAGTTCAAAAAATGCCATCTCCCAAACAGGCTGCTCTGGCTGGGTGACAGTTTTGAGTTAAAGATCTCTTCAAGACAACTTAAAAGAAGATGTTGAAGGTGTCTCTGAAATCATTCCCTTCGGGAAGCACTTTTGCTTGATCACATCCTCACTATTTAACACTCTCCAACACAGTAAGTAAGGTTTAGCTAGGTTTCTTCAAGTCTTCATTTCCTGGTGTAGGATCCTATCCCATGTTACAAAAGATCCTATTATAGTTTTTAAGTTTCAAGATTTATTTGTTTTGTTTTTTCGAGACAGTTTCTCTGTGTAGCTTTGGAGCCTATCCTGGCACTCTCTCTGGAGACCAGGCTGGCCTCGAGCTCACAGAGATCTGCCTGCCTCTGCCTCCCGAGTGCTGGGATTTAAAGGCTTGCTGGCACCAATGCCCGGTGATTTTTTTATTATTTATACATAATTTTTTAATTATGTTTTTTCAAGACAGAGTTTCTCTGTCTAGACCTGGCTGTCCTTGAACTCAAGAGATCTGTCTGTCTCTGCCTCTGCCTCCCAGTGCTGGGATTAAAGGCATGTACCACCACTGCCTGGCAGAGATATTTTAAAAACTTGCGAGGAGCTGGAGAGATAGCTTAGAGGTTATGAGTACATATAGTTCTTCAAGACCCAAGTTTGGTTTCTTTCATCTATGTCCAGTAGCTCACAACTACCTGTAACTCCAGCTCTAGGGGGATCAATCAGACTCCTGGCCTCTGCAGGACTCTTACACACAAATGGTTTATACGTAGACACACCCGTGGACATAATAAAAAAATCTTGAAACTTAAAAACTATAATAGAAGCCGGGCAGTGGTGGTGCATTCCTTTAATCCCAGCACTCGGGAGGCAGAGGCAGTCGGATCTATGTGAGTTCGAGACAAGCCTGGTCTACAAGAGCTAGTTCAGG